GAGTACAGTGTCCGTGCAATCCTCGCCACATGCTTTGTAGCCATTGTAGGAATCGTAGAGGTGTTCCAACACTGTTTGACATTTGTGTCCAGTCTCTTTGCGATGATGGGCCGCATCAGCCGGTGTAACATTCTTGGCTGGTGAACTCGTAGTTGGATTTGATGAGGCCATGTTCTGTCGGCAGCGAGAACAAGTGCAAAAGAAGGAAAAAATGAACGAATGAATGAATATATATCAATAGTTTATAATACGCAGATGGTCGCATCTTGCTCTTGGACGGTTTTGAGTTGTTTTTGAAGAACTTCTCGAACTTTTTCGTTGAGAAGTTTGGCTTCAGACAGAGCCACCTCATACTGATGAATGAGATGAGTCTCGCTACGGTGAACTTCGGCGACGGCTGCTGCTTTGCCTCGACCGTCAGTAGACCAGGCCTTGACGTCGACCCATGTTTGATGAGCCGTTCCAAGACCCGAGCTCGATGTCACTCTGAATAGAGTTGAAAAATAGTAGACATATAGAGAGACAACTCACGGTTCAAGGCCAAGTTCGTTTCTGATAACGCTTGACAGTTGACCGATAAAGTCCAATCGAATCTTGGCAGCCGTTTGCGAGACTGTTTGGAGTACAGTGTCGGTGCAATCCTCGGCACATGCTTTATAACCGTTGTAGGAATCGTAGAGATGCTCCAATACTGTTTGACATTTGTGTCCGTTTGATTTGCGCTCGTCGACCGTATCAGTTGGTGTAACGTGCTTAGCTGGTGTTGAGCTCGTAGCTGGGTTGGATGAGGACATTTTCTGTTGGTGACGAGAACGAGTGTAAAATAAGGAAAGAAATAATGAATGAAGGAATGAATGAAGGAATGAATGGATGAGTAAATGTATATCTATCTGACTACCGCTTCGATGACAGAAATTATTCATCGACCGTGACTTCAATAGACCGATCGCTTGCGTTGCACAACAGATGTCGCATGGTGCGGAAATGAGTAACAGAAAAGCATTGAAATTTATTTTTCTATGGACGAGTATTTTATTGATTCTTTGAAACCTCGAGCAAACAATTCCTTTGTGAGCAATGGACTCAGAAAGTAATACTAGAAAGAGAGAAGTGTCAGAAAGATGTAATGCTCTCCTTGATGTATTGTATTCTCTCACTGAGGACAGGAACTCTCGATCATAATCCATCAATTCTCTATTCAAAATGAGCTGATGACTGAGATTGCATCCGATTCTGTGTAGTACGTACGATGTCGGAAAAAGTCGCTCTTAGGTCGTTGCTGTTCAGGTGACTCTGCGGTTGCTCTCAACGACCAATGTATCTTTCGATCCACAATCCTCGAATCATTGTTGGAAATCAGATGTTGATGGAAGTTTCAATCTACTCCACGTAGTACGCAGATTCTTTCAGCATCGATTTACAAATACTCTATACAGCTCTCACTGCCCATTCCATCTCTCCGTCGATTTCGATTGACTCTCTTGACAATGAATTGTTGACTGAAATTTTAATCCACTCTATATAGTGCTCACGATGTCGTATTGATCTTCGATGATATCTGTGCTCTGTCAACGATACCCAAAATTTTTCGTCTGCTGCTCTTACTTATCATTGAATATCTTGATCGAAACTTCTCGATTATCTCTTGGGAATGACTCGTCACTTGAATCTCGATTGTCTGGGTGTGGAAAGTCGAATGCCTCATCAATCTTCAAAAGTGTTTCCATTTAATCGTTGTTTTACAGGCGATTCATTCGATGCTCTCATCGGTCAATGCATTTTCAGATCCCTATTCATGTTTTCTATGTTGGAAGTTCGTTTAAATGCTATGAGTTTGAATCCATTCTCTCTGGTATACACAATCGCTAATGAATATTCAGTTCAATCTTTTCTCGATCGCTGATTTGCAGATGATGTAGCAGCTGCTCTCAGAAATAGATGCATCGTTCGAGCAACATTGATCAAATCTCTGTTGGGAATGATTTGGTGACTAAAACTTCAACAAAGTGAGCGTGGATTGCAGAATCCCCATAGATCAAAGATGTTTTCTTTCTTCAATCTTTGATGTAAAGGTGATAAACCGGCTGTTCTCTGTGATCAAAAGATCTATCGATTAATACCCATCAATTCTCTCTTGATAGAAAGTTCGAAAGCGAAATTTCAGTTGACTCGACTTGAAATACAGCATTCATCATCGATGCTTGATAATGTCTTTCTTTGGTTGTTGCTCGATTGGGATTTCATGATCTGCTCTTCCTGAGTATTCAAACTCTCGATCAATTTGTATCGATTCTCTATTGGCAATTGAAAAGAGACTGGAATGTCACGTTTTCCTACCCTACTATTTTCGACATTCGAAAATGGAATGCGATGGCCTACCATTCTGTAGCAGTGAATTCAAAATCGGAAATTTACCACGTTCTTCCGTTCTTCGAATTAGTTGTGGAGCGTGCCTTCATTATTATTGATCATGCGATATATGCACCCAGGCACTACAATGGATTCCGAAGAATAGCGAGCGTACTATACCTTGCGGAAAAATCGGAATTACACTCCCTTTACTGTCAATCGTTCGGTTAGGTTAGTCGATCCGCCCATGGGTGTTCATACTCAAAACATCGCAAATAGCTGAATGTGTGCAAAAGGCAAACAGAAAAACATTTCGGTATTCATTGGGGATTCTCTGAACTTTGGGCGAAAGGAAAAATGTTGAAATAAAAAGTTTCGAAAACTGAATAGGGGATTCGTGAATAATTACTTGTTTAGAAAAATAAAAAATCAAGTAGCTTTATTCGAATCAAATGTTTATTATATTAAAAAATAAAAGCGAACGATAAGCAAAATACTTTTAAACATTAGTTTATAGATGTTATAGAATATTCTCATTGTATAATCATATTTTTTTTTACTACAATCAATGACAAGTCGTTGATGCGATCAGATTCTGCAATCAAATAGTTATTATATCTATTATACAACGTGTTTATTCGATTTTGTAATGCTGTTGTTCTTTTGTTTTTCTGCTTCGATCCACCGGAAGAACATTGAAGAACAATATTCTGTACACGTTTTTCCTCTACTTTTATAAAATCGATGAAATGCCATACATTTGAGTGATTTTGATAAATATGAGAATTCATTCTATTATGTTAACCTGCAGTTAAAAAGAACACATTCATCGTTGAACCTCATCAAACATATAGCTTCTCTTTCACAATTGTTGTTTGTCCGACTACCAAAGCCATATACGTTCCACAAATCAATATCCGACATACAGTTGTTCTCAAAATATTCCAATAATCGAATCATTGGTAAACCAGGTAAAAGATCAGTAGCTTCTCGTATCTCATCCAAACCATGTAAAATTTTATTACGTGGCATCAAGGGCAAGCCATCGACTTTATACATAAAACCTGTAATGTTTCATCAATAATGTACTGCTGTTGCAGTTCCAGAAAATGCATGTGCTCATAGATCGCTTGAGAAAAATGGAAACAACAGTCAATATGTTGAGCTGTTGAAAACTGAAAAGAAACCAAATAGAAAAAGGTGTTTTTCCGATTAAGATATTATATACTTCATCCTTTACTGCAGAAACTGAACTAATTCGAAGTCAGTCATAATAACTGAAAGTGAAAAAACTGTTTTCTATCTGAAAGCAGCAGTTTTTTAATGCAGAAAAAAAATGTTTGTATGTTGCAGCTTTTTTATTCCCGAATAACCCAAGTATGAACATATACGTCACAGCTCTTAGCTATACATACCCTATATTTTTATTGGGCGTTTTTTCGATCCATTTGCATATAGATTGATTCATTATTAAAGGAGGTTGCCCTTTATTCAAAGTAATCAAATTTAAATCACTGTTGATGGTGCTTGGCGATTCAGTGGCGGCTTCCATCTGTATATTTATCACTCGAATAATGAACAACTTAAGAGTATTATTCTTATTCTTCTTTATTTGATTGTACTAAGTGACCAATGTCTGATCGACCAATGATAGATTTAAAATAACATCAGTCGCTATCAATCCTACAATAGTAACATATTTATCGAACATCTATCAAAAATTCTTTCTTTCAGAATTTTGAATTTTATTTTTATGAATTTCTTTCGACATTTTCACTTTCGACCAAAGTTGAGTCTACCTCATCAGACACTTCTCAATTTCTATTAACTATAATATATGTGGCAGCAAGAGTTCTGTAAGAAGCCTTTTAAGAATTTAGTTTGACAAATCTCTGTTTTTTATCCTGTTCAATCAACGTTTTCTTTCTCTCACTTTTGGTTGAATAAAATATCCAAATTTCCACATGAATCATTCTCACTGACCCATCACTCACTTGAAACTCATCGTAATGATGAGATATTACCTTGGTTTAATAGTTGTCTCTCTCAAACATATCGGAGTACTGCTGTCGGCCGCTAGTGTCATCTAGTCTCTGACACGTATATTCGTCTCCATCTCGATCGATGTTCATTTTTATCTCGACCAATCGACTTTTCTTTTTCGTTCTGTCATCACTCCAGACATTTTTCTATGTAGTCGGTTGTTATCAAACGGAACTGCTACTCTTCACGTTTTTGCCTCACATGTTGTCACACGAAGAAGAGAAAGAAGTGCATATTTTTGTTCTTTATTGCACTAGGAAGTCACGAAGTTTTCATTCTGTTGTTCTATGTTTTTTTGATTCTGCAGAATAAGTGTCAGACTGAAAATAACATGTCCCATTGTGCCTCGAACATGGCTCGCTTCATTTTCTCAGCCGATAAAAACAGAAAAAATGGAAAAAAGATTTCTTTCTTCTGCTCATAAGGCACTCTCGATGAGCGAACAGAAAAACAAAGTGTAACTGGTGCATTTTTTTCTCCCGAAGAATCGAGAGAACAATGAAGAGAAGGAAACATGCGTATAAATAGGAGTGGTGTTCTCTCACAATCGTCATTCATTCATCTTTTTTTTCAAAACAATTACATACCCCCATATCAATTCTATAATAATGTCCAGCCATACATCATCACAAACTGGAGATAAAAAAGCTGACGACACAGGTTCAGAAGATCCATCTCATCCAGGAATGAATCCTGATTATGCTGAGCGTGGTAAAGAGCTAGGCGAAGAAAATGCCTGTGGTGGTCATAGCGTAGGCACGGGTGGTCATGGCAAAAGCAGTGGCTGTAGTATGTCAAATAACGTTGGGTGTTCCATAAGTATCTGTCCCATTTTATTGTTTTATTATATTTGCCGGATTTAAAGATGAATGGTGGTTAACGATATATTTTGGACGAGTAGCGTCTAAGATATTATCCACGAAAAATTGGCCTCAATTTGGATCAACTCAAAGAAAATATTACATTCCTAAAAATACGGAACAAGATTTATCCAAGTTATATTCTTGATCTGGTCGAACGTTACAGAATTTCGTTTGTTCTGTCTTTGGTGATTCGTATCCCCGCAGAAATAAAAGTAAAGGTCCTTATGTTTTCGGTGTCGATCGTTCACAGTCATTCCTACCATCCATAAAAGTTTTCTTCGTTTTAGTCAAGCCAAACTCGGATTATTCTTGAAATACTGACCGTTATACAGTATCAGTCTTTTTATATTCTGTAGTGGTCAGTATTTCAAGAATGACTTGAGTTTCGCGAGACCAAAATGAGCAAAAATTTAATGGATGGGAGATCTAACTGTAACTAATAGACACTAAAAATATAAGAGCCTTCGATTTTTATATTCGCGAAAATAGGGCCATCCGAAATCGAAAAAATGATTTCTGAACATTCGACCAAGTTAAGAAAATAACTTCGGTAAAATGCTTTCGATATTGTTACCAACATCGTATTTTCTGTGAGTTGATGTCAATTGAGGCCAATTCCTCTTGAATGATAACTTAGATGCTAAGTTTCCAAATAAATTCATCAATAACCATTCATCTTAAAATCGGGCAAAGACAATAAAAGAAATACAAATGGGGCCGATACTTATGGAGCACCCTCTATCTCTCGAACATTCTTTCAATTGCAATATTAACATTGATTTAGGCAGCAGACAACGTGTCGGTGGTGAACATTCGACAGATGCATTACATTTCACCCAAGAGGAGCTGCATCCAGGAATGAATCCTGATTATGCTGAGCGTGGCAAAGAGTTAGGTGAAGAAAATGCCTTTGGTGGCCACAGTGTAGGCACGGGTGGCCATGGCAAAAGCAACGGCGGTAGTATGCCATTTAATATCTCTCCAATATTCTTTCAATTTCAATGTGAACACTATTTTAGGCAGCAGACAACGTATTGGTGGTGAACATTCGATGGATATGTCACAGTTCACCGAAGAGGAACAACATCCCGGCATGAATCCCGATCCGGCAGCGCGAGGTGCTGAATTGGGCCGTGAAAATGCGCAAGGGGGTCATAGTGTGGGCACCGGTGGACATGGAGCGACTAGAACCCAAATTTCCCAAGTGAGAAATGTACAAGATCAACTGATTTCATATGAAGATCCCGTCCACTCAAGCTGATGCCATGATCTCAGATCCTGACTTCGTCTTTATGCGCATTTGTTAAAATTTCCCCCGTCGTTCGTTTTTTTTAAACGAACTTGCATACGTTCATCTTCCATTCGTTTAACACTCTATCATTCGTTTCTTCATGTGTGTACTGTTGAAAAAATTATAACTTAAATAATAATAATAAGCATATATTAAGTAATGAAAAATAGCAGTTAGATTCATTTTTACATGTACCAAGATTTTTCACGTAGGTGAAGTTAGCAAAAAATTCGAGTAAAACCAGCCAGGATTCGCCTAAGAACATGTTCCAATTGTTCCAATCAGTGTTTCAAGTACAACTCGACAAGCTTCATCCACTTGTGTAATCAGATTCTTTGTAGCTTAAACCATTTCTCAGAAACATTCGGTATGACATATCATACTGTAGAAGACATTTCGTTTGAGTATATTCATGCGTTATTCGTTGCGAGACTTTGTTTTGAAAGTTCTGTTTCTTTCTGTCTTGTTTTCTAAAGACTCTGTTAAATCGTTGTTCTGGCAACGTATATATTGTTTACTGTGCAATAGATTTGATAACCTGTTTCTGTTACTGACAAAGATGAAAATATTATATCAGTTCCATGATCGTTTCAAGTTTAGCAGATTAAGAAGAGTGTCTCGGATGCCAAGACACTGTACATGTGCGAGGTATCATTAACCACGCCGCTGTAGACCAGGTTTCAAGTCATTTCACTAATATAAGTTCTGCAAGAGACTGCACAGAACAATTGTTACATCGATTCTTCAATGTTTATACGACTGTCGTTGAAATAATTTGAATCGACGGATATAGATACGTAATATTCAAGATATTAGTTATGAATACTTATGCCGATGTTTCAATTGTGATATTGCGTTGAATATGATGAAAATCTAAACGCACTTGTATTATTTCCTCACTAATGGGATCCTCCATAGTGGGATGGACAATGTCCACGAAAAAGGAATGGTGGAGATCCATGAATAAAATACGATGGTTCAGAGACTACTTCTCCATTACATGGCCAGCTTTCGCTATTGCATCATTTTGAATATTATTAATAAAAAATAATATTAAGCTTACTCTTTTTCGATTGTATTCATATGGAGGTTCTTGACATCTCGTGTATGTCTTTTATAACGAAGTCGGCATGCTTCTTTGAATAATATTTCATTTAGTTTTTTGATAAAGGTACCACAATGGGAGGTAGTTTCAGTTGAAAATTTTAAAATGACAGTTTCCCAAGATCTAAATACCAGACAAGTTCTATAGTCAATTTATATGAAAAGCTACCGGGAAAGTGCAGTTGTAAACAACATGTATATGGTCAAAATATGAACATTTTACGAAAAAATTAAAAGAGATATTACTAAATTTAGTTTTTGTACAATTACAAACACATATGTCAACAACAATGTCGATCACAACTGAACCCAAACAGCTACATTATCTTAATAATTCATTCTGTGATTATTTCGGTAAGGACGTTCATTACTTACTCAAGAGCCAGATCAGCAGTTGTGGGGTGTGGATGTGGGTGGTGTGGGTGATGTGGATATGGGTGGAAATGCTCTATTCCTTCACACCGAAACCCACCCTGTTCGTAGACGAATCCCAGCTAATTTTACTACATAAATTCCAATATCCATATAGTGAAATACCAGTATTATGGGATTTTTTTTAGATAGTTTGAGATATGGAAAATCTGATTACACCAGTGGATAGAGCTCGTCGAGTTGTACTTGGAACACTGATTGGAACAATTGGAATATGTTCCTTGGCGAATTCTGGCTGGTTTTACTCGAATCTTTGGCTAACTTCACCTACGTGGACTTTTCGACCGTTTTTAGTAAGATCATCGCCAGCAATAAGACATCATTTATGACTTGAGTCCTTTTTTTGGTCGAAATAAAGAACAAAAAATAGAACCTAAAGAAGCATAAGGCAACAAATATGATAACATAACACATTAATACTTAAACATTTGATGTTAAAATTATTTTGTGTGAGAAGACGTTTAGTTATTTGACTGACCTGTCTTTGTTCTAGTAAATAATAAATCATTAAATAAGTGTATAAGAAGAAGAAATGAAACATATATACCAGGATAAATGTATGTTGTATCCTATTCACTTTTTGGAGTTCCGAAAATATTCTGTCAAATTTTTATAGAATTCTTTTCCTTTGATTTAAAACTTTCTGACAGTTAGTATTTAGTAAAAGTCGAATCCTTGAATTGCTTCGGATACTATTCGATTCAACAGGCTTGCGAAAATGTATGATGGGATTCAAACATCCGCGCAATGGGCAATTTCTATAGAGCACATGGACATGCATTATTTCGTGTTGAAATCGCCTTTTTTTCACAGGAACATCAGTTTCTATTTGTCAGAAACCAATTACTGATAAAAAAAGGGTGAATCCGCAGAAATTTTTTTTAGTGACAAATCCCTGAGGGGAACCCTTGCCCTAATTTTTTGTCAAAACTTTTTTTCTTTTGAAAAACTAGTAGATTATGTGTCATTCGATGCAGTTTTTTGTGCGGATTCTAAGTATCATATTTTCGTTGATTAAAAACGGTTCTGAACCGAGAAAAATGGAAAATACCTGAAAAACCATGGGTTTTTTCGAAAACATGCTATGGGTGCTGTAGGATCCAGGAACATTTATGCTAACTTATGCTAACTGTGGTGATAGAGGACATATGAGAGAACATTCTGGCAAAGTTTGAATAAGTTTCAAAATAGGAGCTGGAGGAGGCTCTCATTTTACTAACATAGCCGTTTGAAAAATCGCTGCGAAAAAAAAGAAATTTTTTTTCTCAACAATCTTCAGTAATAATTAACCACTCCTTTTTTATAAATCGATAGCGGACATTCTGCAAATTTATAATATATATTGCTTTCAATTGTCATTTCAGTGTATTCTGAAACAAATGTCTAATGTATAGATCGCGCTATTTTCAGGCTAATTTTTAATTAGCTGATTTTTCACTCTATTTGAGCTTTGTAGAAAAATTTTTAACATCATTAAGTAGTCCATAGTTCGAAGTATATATAGCACTATTTGAATCATGCAAAGGTACACTTTAGATTTGTCACCTAATGTCCACTTTGTTGCCCACTGTGATCCGATCCTTCGTGTTGAATGTATATCAAATACAAAAACACAATATGCATTTTACGATTCATATACTTTGTCCATATATAAGTGAGATACCATAGCATTTCTCTATGAAATACTTCGAAAACATTATTGACATTGGCTTTACTCGATTTCTTTGTCGAAATTTGTTGGTATTGGACTGGTTCCTTCCTTCAACCTATTTATTAGATGTCCTTCACTGATGATCCGTTTTAGAAAGCCTTAAAAAATTATTCGTGAAACCAATCTTATTTATTCCACGCAGTATTGTTTGATGTTGTTCATACAAATGAAAATTTTAAAAACTTTTCTCTTGGTAAAAACATCAACAGATTTGATATAAAAAATCTACAGATCTTTTAATCACTTTAATCGTACTTGCTATTTATAATTCATTCTGCATATTTTGATGCACTATTGAAGAAGTCCACATAATAAAGAATGATACTTAAGTTTTTGTCATGTATTTAGTTGAGATCAATTTTATTTCTTACAAGAATATATAAATATTAGATTAGGAGTATGAATTTATTGTTATTGTTATTAATAACAATAACTTTTTTTGTTGCTTTTTATAAATAACAAAAAAATAACAAATAACTTTTTTTTCTGAAGAGCCTTCAATTCGAGCTGCTGCTTATCTCAACCATACCGATTCTATTAGTCTATGTTTAAGGAATGAATTTGCTACGACTATGACATCAACCAATCTGAAAATCTGAGAATTTGCATAGATCATATACAGGGTTGGCCAAAAGTAACAGGATAAATAGTCTTTTTGATTTTTTTTCTTTTAATATCGACAGTTACATCTCATATTTATACTACATATACTAGGTGATACTAGTTAGAGATGTGTCATATGATCAGCCTATAAGCAGAGCAATTTGTTCCAAACACATACATGTATTAATTGCTCGTATACGACTACATGAAAAATTCGATGTTTTTTGTGCTACATACGATTTTCATATTCTTGCCTGTTTATCTCAATCTGAAATAGAAATTCGATTCGATCAGATTTTGAACTCATTTAGACTAAAAGAATACAAAATTCAATTGAATCGAATTTATATTTCAAAAAGGGATCAACAAACAAGAAGATGGTAATCGTATGTAACACAAAAAATATCGAATTTCTCATATGGTCACATACGAGTAATAAATACATGTATATGTTTTGGGTGTGGGTGTGGGTGTAGGTGTGGGTGTGGGTGTGGGTGTGGGTGTGGGTGTGGGTGTGGGTGTAGGTGTGGGTGTGGGTGTGGGTGTGGGTGTG